AAATGTTTTAATCTCGGCCTATTTTATTAAATGTCTAAATGAATATAATACAAAAATGTATGAATGTGATAAAATCATGTGTTGCAAAGTCATAGTCTATAAGTTAGTCATCTATTTTTTTCTTTTTAAGATTTTTTTTAATTTAAAGTCAATTTCATCAGATCTATTTCTAATTTAAATCTAATATACTGAGCATCACTTGACACTTGCTATTGGTCAGTTTAATGACTGTGCAACTTATATCTGATTAAATTCCATTGAGTTTCTTCTCACATTTACATCTGTCTCAATGTTCCCACAGAAATAAAGGTACTATTGGTCGTGATGAAGAACCTTTAACATGGCATCTCTCCGGAAGGGTCTTTAAATTATTAGTCTTTTAAGAACTGTTCACTGAAAGGCTCTTTGGATAGGCTCAAAAATGAAACACACACACACACACACAAATAAACCTGAATTTGTAGAGTTGACTTTTTACAATTAGCCTTGTAATAGAAATATATGGCTGTGAGGGAGTTTAATGCGTTCCGTTAAATGCCTCTGTCAAACCCCTCCGCGCAGAGAAGCGCATTCTGGGAATTTATCGAGGGAAAATACGCGGAGAAAATGAAACCCGTTTATTTTCAGCATCCCTAAATCCTGTAGCGATTAATCTGCCCAATTTGATAACGAACTGCGCAAATTAAAACAATAAAGAGCTGTCTAATGAGGAATTAATTATGGGGCGCGTGGGGTTCGAGGGGCGGCAATGTAAGCCCGCGAAACGGCGCCGCGCGAGACAAACTGCCGCGCGCTCAATGTGCGCGGGACTGATAGCGGTGCGCGCGCTGATCGTAAAGATGAGGCGAAATCAATCGCGCTTTAACGGCCTCATTAAACGTGCTGACCTCGCGCGCGCGCACGCGGGAAACGCCTCGCGCGGATTTATCGCTGTAATGGTGTCGCTGAACTCCCGAGGGAACCTGTGATTTAAAAACCACACAGGTCAGGGCAGAAGGAAAGGGAAAGTCGGTGCGGAGTAAAACCCCGCAGAAGAAGCCCTATAAAACAGTTCCGACTTTTTAATAATCGATCTAACAGTATATAATCATAATAATTATAATATGCCCAAGTGACGCGCTGTAAGAGTTTTAATCGGGTGTTCAGTTCCGACCCGAACTCGATCTCCTCAGGTTTGATCACAACATGTTGGATTTGATGCAGATCGCACGCGCTTGTTCAAATGTAAAGATTATAAAGCATAGAAAAACATCCAGAAAAATATTTTGTTTAAAGCTATAGGCTACCTAATAAAAAAAAGTCAAAATGCAATTAAGTTATCAAAGAAATTTAAATATTAGGTCAAAACTGTTCAGAATTTTTTTTTCTTGAGTGAGATTAGTTCATAAATTAAAATTAATAAATAGTTAATAATAGTTATTAATAAATTCCGAGCAACTATCTGATTTAGCCCTATGTACTTGCTTATTTGTTTTTGGGCTCAAAATATTCAAATTAATAATATCCTCCTAATAAATGTCACCTCGTTGATCATATTTTCTTAATCCCGTGAAGCCTTAAAAATAATAAAGCGCTGTAGAAATAAAGCAGTGGCATATCAATAATGACTCTTGTAGAGAATATGATTATTATCCCCATGGAAAGAAATGTGAACAGTAAATCGATATATGAAAAACATAAACGAATAAAATAATACCAATATTTGAAGTAGCCTAATATTTGTTAATATGGCTTTTATAGTTGTTCAGAAAGATCGGACTAATTCGTTGTCTGACGCGCATGCAGAGGATTGAAGGATTTATGGAGTCCGAAATTGCAGCGTTTTCAGCAAATGATCTCAGTGTTTGATTTGTTAGCTTGTTTTCCGCGAATTGAGCATTTCATTAAGTTTTATGAAGCTCTCGATCACCGAACCCCGCATAGGCCTATCTGACATTATTCCGCTCAGTGGGTTGAGATTAATGCTATTAGCGAGTTCTGTGTGTAAAACTGCAGCTAATTCAATTTCATCTGCAGATAATTGAGACACGAGCTGCTTTCATCGGATCCCGTGTGTGTGGTGTGTGTGTGTGTGTGTGTGTGTGTGTGTGTGTGTGTGTGTGTGTGCGGAATTTCAGTTTCTCGAGAATCTGCGACTATCTCACATGTTTGTCCAGTTTATATAACACGATTACTAATATCAATCTTTTCACTTACCCAAATTTCATCTAGCTATTAACAGGCAATAATAATAATAATAATGCTGGATAAACTGTGCTTGCACGTTTTCCAGTGATTAACAAAACAATGTCTGACAAATAAAGCCTATAAACTAAATAAAATAGTTCAAATTTTATTTTATTTGAACTATTTTATTGTACTGGAAAGCACTTTGGATCAACTACGGTTGTGTTAAACTTGTGCTCTATAAATAAAGTTTGACTTGACTTGACTATAGTACAAAATGTTTTTGCTCCAGTTTATTAAAAAGGAGGGGGAAAGAAGTAGGCAGCATGCATCAAAAACATAATGTGTTGGTTTTACTCAAAATAAAGCCTTTTTCCAGCTTGCATTTTAGGAAATTCAACTTCCTTCTTAAAAAAACATTTTTTACATAAAATATGTAATACCAACAGAATATATATTTTTCTAGCCTAGATGAAGAATTTTGCGTGAAGTAAACTCATTTATATGTGAATGTGTAAAAATAAGTAAACCAAAAATATAAAGCTAATATATATGGGCCTAGGCCTATTCAAAGGTAGTAGCATGACTAAGAAATAGTGATAACTAGACATCGCATGACTGAGGGGAAATTCACAAGATTTACATAGACCTATTGTAGCCTATATGTAAAATTAAAAATTCGGTTGAATTATTCAAATGACACATTCATAAAGACTTCATCAAATAATCCGGAGCATCAAAACGGCATGTTAGAGTGATTTCTGAATGATAATGTGACACTGAAGACTGCAGTAAATTAATGATGCTTAAAAAAGAATAAATTACACTTTATATATTCTCATAGAAAACAGCTGTTTTACATTGTGATAGTTTAACAATATTAGAGAGACAACACGATCATGCGTAGTACGAATTGTATTTATCGTGCAATTCATAAGCAGGTTTTATATTCGCAGTGTCATGAACATAACACGCCCTTGTGTTTGAGTACGAGCATAATACACGCCATAAGCGCGTACCATATCATATCATGTCATATATCATAAGCACGTAAAAACTTTTAAATGGCACGCCTACACTACGCACTTCCAGAGATCGGCTGGAGAGACTGACACTGGTCGACACAGAGAACGCTACACTGGCGTTCAGGAGCTTAAATAACCGCGAGGCATTGAGTTGAGGCCCTTTACGCCTGATTGCGCTAATTGCTCTGAAATAGGAGACATTATCAGTAATGATCCAGTCTTTCATCTTCAGCGAGATCATCATAATGTCGCGATCACCGCTTTCTTCTCTGTGATGATGATGATGATGATGATGATGATGATGTGTGTGTGTGTGTGTAGGCCCTCACTAACACACAGAGAGCTTCATCGGAACGACACGAATCAAAGCTCAACTTTCGCACCACACGAGTTTTAACCCGCTTAATGGGACACACATGTTCCCCGTGACAGACATCCAGGAATCACTCGCTTTTCGCTTTTCTCCGAGGCTAAACGTTTCCCTCGGACCGTCTTTTGATATCCAGGGAACCTTTCAAGTCTTTTAAGTCAGATTTGACAGACTCTGCATGAAAAGGGTTAAGACAACTCTCGCAGAGACACGACAAAGGCTCTTTGTGTCTCCAGACTCCGAATCAAAGCTGGGGTTTGTGGAGTTAAACAAAGCTCTGATAGGACTTACAGTCTCTTTGTGTCGCAGTTCAGCCCTCATTTGTTGCCCTGAGATTTCAATAAAAACTATGGTAATCGCCTTCTCCACGCACATCATTGCCCTAAAGCTCATGCTAATTGTGTTTCCCTACACAAACACAACAGAACAATCAATGCCAGTTATTTACTACTCAGCTAGAAGCGGCCGCGGGAGGGTAATGTGTTTCGTGTGTGTGCAAGTGTGTGTTTATGTTTCTCTCTCTTTTTTTTTTTTTTTTACCGCGGAAGGATCAAACATTCCCGCAGCGCGTGAGAGCGCGAGACTTCAAAGCGCGCGACACTCATTTAATCTAATGGGCTCTAAGTGTCTCCAAGCATAATTACAGATTTATTCGGTTTAACGGCCGGATGTGAAATTAAGGAAATGCTAAATTACCGTTTGCATGTAATTTTATCAGTTACAACCAATTACAGTTTGCGAAAGATGAGATCGGGTTTGTGCAAAGAATGTAGTCCCTGGAAAATTGAATCCTTAGCCTAAAGAATATTTCACACTATAGTTTCATATTATTTGATTGGTTTGATGTGATCTCTTAGCTCCACTACACCCGCTAGTAAACAGTGAGAGCCAGTAGATCGTCAGAAACATGTTCGTGCGGAATGACCGGCTCTGCGTGCGGTTGGAGATCTGGCTTTGATCCGCCGCTTCTGGCGCCAAAACACAGCATCCCCGGTCCGAATCTAATAATCAGCCCAGTAAACACTGATCACCACTGATCGATGATCACCACTGATCGAAGGAGTTTAGCAGCTACTGGAGCTGATGGAGTCATCGCTGCTGATCTGCAATGTGAGTTACGTATACGAGGCCTATGCTTTGCACATTCTCTTGCACAATAACTCTCATTAAACAAATATAGGTGACAGACACGGATTTTTTAAAAGAAAATAATGGGTTTTAAAACCGGGAATCGCATTTTCTTGACCTAACGAAAAGGGAAAACAGGCTAGCAAAAAGTTGAAGAGAAAACGTGGGCCTAGGCTAGTCACAAACAATAATTAGCATATCATTGCTGCCAACACATTTTAAAGTTACATACAGTATGTTAAAACACCATCGTTTATTTCCCTCTGTCCAGAATGCAACATGTCACAACACTCACAGATAAACACAGCGGCCGAACTTCAGGAACTTAAGCCCCGCCCCTCTGCTCTGATTGGCTGCTCGTATGTTATTAGCGTACAGTCCTTCATAGCGGAGTCGAACACCAGCATGTTCTGAGCATCACATCTGGTAGTAAACACTAACCGTGCACATCGGTGTGTGTGTGTGTGTGTGTGTGGATGGATGTGTGCACGGCCCCGGTTACCAGCATGACCTCTGGGTGTACGGAAGATCATTCCCGTGTGATTCCGGGAGTTACCGAGATGCAGGAGCCGAAGTTCCTCCCGTTCAGCGTGGAAGCCCTGATGGCGGACCGGAGGCCGAACGGCTCTAACACCGGGACTTCAGCGCGTTCCCTTGGAACGGAGGCCGATCCAGACCGGGCCGGTGCTCGTGTCACGTTCTCTGTGGACGTTCTGAAGGTGCCGGTAAAGGCGGAGAGCCCGGAGCTCGCGTGGACACAACCGGACAGCTTCTCTCCCCGTGAGTTACAATCATGAGCCTGTGATATTAATAAACAAGCTGAGATTCATATCCGAGTCTGTAACGTATACTTGATTTGCATGATTTACCACTCTTAAAAACAAAAGGGCAACATTTAGGCTTTACAATAAGGTTCATTAGTTAACATAATTAGGCTTAACTAACCAATACATTATATTTATTCATCTTTGTTAATATTAGTTAATTTAAATACAGCTATTCATTGTTTGTTCATGTTAGTTCACAGTGCATTATGTTAACAAGATTTTATTTAAGTATTATTAAATTATTGAATTAACATTAACAAAGCTTAATAACTATAATGAACTAATGTAGGCTAGTTATTAACTAATGAATCTTATTATAACCAATTCAAGTTTTTATTGGCATTTATGGTGAAGAATCTTCGTCTTTAAATTATTGAAATGGTCTTCACAATAAGAAAAAACAATATTTAACTGTTCACAGAAGGTTCTTTGGGGAACAAAAAATTGTTCTTTTTAAACCCATTCTGGAAACTTTATTTTTAAGACTACTATTTGAAATTAAAAAAAATATTTATGTCTGAATAGAACATTACTGTGCGGAAGACTTAGAAGATATTTCTAAGATGTAATGATTTAGAATGCACGTTAAACTGACATCTTATAAACGTCTAGACATCTGCAGGAAACGTCCTATAGACGTCTTGCAGATGAGCAAACACTCTTTAAAATACGTCTTCCAGATGTAAATAGGAGATCAGACAGCTTTGTGCTATCTGGGTTGGGTTAAAAAATAATTTTCATAATTTAATAGTTGGGTTTGCCCGTATTTGACCCGAAGTCGCGTTAGAACAACTCAGCATTTTTAGTGTGTGAAGACCTCAACATTAATACTGTGTGATGTGAGTTAATAACTGTGTGTGTGTGTGTGTTGTATCCAGGGCGTCTCAGTCCTCCCGCGTGTCCGCTACGGAAACACAAGACGAACCGGAAGCCGCGGACCCCGTTCAGCACGGCCCAACTCCTGGCGCTCGAGCGCCGGTTCCGGCAGAAACAGTACCTGTCCATCGCGGAACGGGCCGAGTTCTCCAGCTCGCTCAGCCTCACGGAGACCCAGGTCAAGATCTGGTTCCAGAACCGGCGAGCCAAAGCCAAGAGGCTCCAGGAGGCCGAGCTCGAGAAGCTGAAGATGGCCAGCAAACCGATGCTCGCTCCGGCCTTCGGGATCTCCTTCCCACACCTTCCCGGTTCATATTCGGGATCACACGAGTTTCACAGACACTCGCTGAGCTTGAGTCCGGTGGGACTATACACACACATGGGATACAGCATGTACCATTTAGCCTAAAGACGAGAAATATGACTCTTCCGCAGGTCTATTCCGAAACAGTGGAAATAATAATGACATTTCACACGGGCTTGAGAGTTATGAACTCAGAGTTATGAACACGGCCTTGAGAGTTAATAACACGGACTTAGTTGTGAACTGAGAGTTATGAATGGTCGAGGGAGAACTCTGTTTCACTCTTAAGTTTATAATTGAACGGCCTTTTTCAAACTCGCGTGAATGTTTTTAACGAGCATTTTAACAACTGACTGTTCTTTTAATGATTCCCTTCGAAAGGAATTTCTGAACTGTAAAATATTGTACATTTGGACAGAAATACCATTTATATGATGAATATATTTGTTAAATAAATTAATGAAAAATGTCATTTTCTGTTTTATTAGTTTTCTTGTTTGTTCTAGAAAGTGAGAGAGCATGTTTAAAATATGTTTCAAAATGAAACCGAAATATTTGACGAGGATTAAATTCAGTCCAGAAGTTTTTGGTATTAAATCTTTAACTCAAATATCTTCATGTGGTTTCGAAAACACGCGAATAAACGACAACCATTTCAAACGAGTGATAATGGGAAAAAGTAAGTAAAAAAGGAACATCAAGGCTAAATGACATTTAAAACCCCTCAATAGTTCTACACTTATACTCGCTTTGTAGTAGATATGTGTTGACCCAGATTAACATCGGGACGGTCTTGCTCAACACACGGAAACGGTAATAATCTTACAGAAACACAGATGAGATGATGTGCGGGTTGGAGGACTGATGCTCGAGGACAGTCAGGAGAACATGTCGACGTTCTCAGGAGACTGACTTCATGTTTCAAGCTGTTAATTTCCAACAGATCTTATTGAATTTTGAATACTAGCCTAATTATTATTTTGTTGACCTTTTTACAGCCATTTAGCTTATTCTTTTTTTTTTTTTTTTTTTTTTTTGAATGTCGGTTATGTTCGTTCCAGCGATGGGATTGGGAAACAGAAATGATGATGGATTTATGAAAGAAGTGGACTCTTTATGGTCTCTGTCACAGGTCTTCAGAACATCGCGCTGCTCGGTAATTAATAAAAGCGTTAATGACAATACGACGAGAATCACACGGGTGAGCGCGCGCTGACCTCATCACAATAGATCTGAGGGAGATCGACCTTCCCTTTCAGGAGAGCTCTCTCTCTCTTGCTTTCTCTCTCTCTCTCTCTCTCTCCCCCCCCCCCCCCCCTCTCTCTCTCTCTCTCTCTCTCTCTCTCTCTCTCTCTCTCTCTCTCTCTCTCTCTCTCTCTCTCTCTCTCTCTCTCTCTCTGGCGCCATCCCAGACAGCAAACTGACATTGAATCAACGTAACACGTCTCTCATGACATTGAAACAACGTTGATTTGCTCATCGAATTAACGTTGAACCAACGTCAGACGCGGCATTCTTCAAAGCTAAATGAATCGAAAATTGGTTTCTCATAACGTTGAAACAACGCGATTTTAAGTTGATTTTCCGTTAGTTTTGAAAGAATGACGCATCTGACGTTGGTTCAACGTTAATTCGATGAGCAAAACAATGTCAGATCAACGTTGTTTCGATGTCATATTTCCACGTTGATTCAATGTCAGTTTGCTATCTGGGATGTCACTCAGTCTCGGTTGAAAGACTCAAACGGGAAGATATTTCATTCAGATATTTCGAGATTTGTGGACATTACAGATGTTTTATTCTGACAACATTCAACGCATGTCTTCCAGAAGCTCTTGTTTAACTCTACGTTTAATGTAGGCTAATCTAGAAAAGGAAAATAAACTAACCCAAGTTAAACAGTAAAATTACTATGATTAAAATTATAAACAATACTTATAGGCTACAATTATAAATATTTTTTTTTCAGGGGTATGCTATGCAGTTAACAGAAAACTTTCATTCAAGCGAAATTGAAAACAAACATTAAAGAACCGCATTAATCTTTACAGAAATTTTACAGAAATTACGAAATCTTCATAGCTAATCTATTATAGATTGATTATACATGTAGTTATTTATATTTGTTGCTCTTTCCTCTTTAGAGAAGGATTGGGATTTTGTATTTAATGCTACGGATGTTGATGTTTTAAGGCCTATTTCAAAACTTCATCTTATAGACCATTTCACAAGATAAACAACACTGGTCCAGAAGCACTTCCTGTTTCAATTTTTTAACACTACATAAAATCTGGGATAAAATACAACCAACAGAACATATAAAACTAAATTAAAGAGTTAAACAAATATCGTTAAGATGTTTTCTTTACATGTGAAATAAAGAAAACAGTACAAACTGAAACAGGAAGTGTTTCTGGACCAGTGTTGTTTACATCTTGCAAAATGGTAAGTCACGTCACCTTTATTTCTATAGCGCTTTTTACAACACAGTGTTTCACAGCAGCTTTACAGAGATAACAGGAAAATAAAGAAACTAACTTTGTTTCCAGAAGAAAATAGCGGCAGTCGAGCTTAAGTTCAGCGATGCTTCGTTTCTGCTGTAAAAAAAAAAAAAGTTATTTATTCTGGTGAATATTGTTAAAATAAACATCTGTGTTTGCCCTGTTAACTCTAATCTAGACGAACAATGATAATAAACAATATTATAGATATTCGAAGACCTGCCCAATATTAGCCTACACATTCTTCTAATTGCACAGAATATTTCCATTCACTGGAATAACACAAAGTGGAATAAAACCTATAAATCCTGATGAAGTAGCCTGTTCCTAATCCGGTGTAAACAGCATGGATGTTTCGGCCTGTTCTGGTTTGTGAATAATGCTGTTGTCTACAGCGCCACCTGCAGGTCATGACACCCCACCTCAGCGTTCACTCTTCCTCACTGGTATGATTTGGTCAGGCCTATGGTTTCAGTTATTTATTTTACACAGGGACGATGAAATACATTAATGTACTGAGACCGTGAATGAAAGAACAATCTATAACAGGCCTATAATATTGGATGTCACTCACTCTCTCTCACACACATTTATTCACACACTTTATTCTAGAGCTGTAAAGCCCAAACAATCTCTGTTACCGTAATCTCCTGTAAAGCTGCTTTGGAACAATTTAGGCTATTAATGAAGGTGGTGATTTGACGACTTGAACGATTCTGAAAACGTTTGGCTCGCGAAATGTCACGTGAATCCCAGCGATAGGTAGGCTAACCCTCTGCTCTGAGCCAACAATTAACGGCGAGGGGGAAAGGAAAATGAGTGACGTAATGAATCAGCACGTGTGTGTTCGCTGTGATGATCACAGAAGCTCTCGCCCAGTTCACTCTCTGACGTCATTCACTGTTCGCCTTCAGTTTCCAGAAATACAAACTGCAAACACAGTTGTTGTGAAACAGTGTTTTGACCACACTGGTGTAAACACAGAAGCCCCGAGGCGAAGGAGAGCGAGACTGAGACACAGGCAGTGCCGCTGTCCTCCGCCAGAGGGCGCCGTTACCCGAGGCTCTCTCCACGCTCTTCATTATTTCCACCGGAGCCTTTGAGATCACTTTATTTTTTACACACGCATCCGTTCTCTCACTCATCTGTGTCCACCATATGCTGCATTAAGCGTGTCTGTGTAGTGCTGTGTGTGTGTGTGTGTGTGTGTCTATAATCCGCTCTATAATCTCCGTTCACCAGCTGACTGACCCGATTAATCACAATAAGATCAACATTATTTTTTTTTTTCCTTTATAAGGTTTGTCTCCAGAGGTGACGTCATGTGTCTCGTCTGGGTCACGTGTTCTGAAGCGGCTGATGAAGAACTGCTGTCACACTCTTCTCACACAGTCCAGCACATGTGCAAACCTTTCCATGAATCCTAATCCTATACTGTTATTTATGATTAAGCAAAATAAGAGATGGATGAGAAACGTCAATGCATTGGTATTAAAATAACCTAATTTCTTCTTACCGTACTCTCGGGGTTTATTTAGGTCTGAGCTGGAATCCGAGCTGAGTGCCAGTGAATTCAGGAGATCAGGCCATTTGTTCCCAGGAATCATCAGGAGAACGTCCCGAATGTTTCCAGGTCTGAGATCTGGAGCGCTCCAGTCCAACACTACAGCAGATGTCTGATCTATAACCGCATTAATGAATCACACACTCAATCCACGGCCAGAACATCTGCGAATACATCTCTGACAGTTTAGTTTCATATATTAAATACACATCATCTGACGGCTCACTGGCGTTCAGAACAATTTCAAAAAACGCTTTACGCCAAAAAGGTTCAATCGAAGGAGAAATGACCTGCACTATTATATGATAAAGTATGTTTATATCATGAACCTTAAAATAGAAATGAATCAAAAGTAAATGAGTGAATTCAAACTGAATCCATCAAATGACCACATGACCTGAACCGCTAAAAGCTTTTATCTCGTTCTTGTTTTCTACACATAAATCAGACAAATTAGTTCATACCTTGTTAATAAAATACTTTATTTTACTTTGTTAATGAAAGTTACTTAATATATGGTAGAAATATTGGGATTACAGAAGTGTATATGTTGAGTAGTGATTGACAGCT